CCTTTCCCCAAAACTGGGACTCAGGGCAGCTCACAACATTAAAAAACATTACAATTAAAATCTTACAATTTCTCTCACCCCTCAAGTAGCTGTTTTACAATATGTAGAAAGATGACCTACATAATAGTATAGAAAGCTGGTTCATACTGTTTTATATTTTTTTGAAATCATATCTGGAGTTAAGTATCAATGATAATAAACTTTATAAAAGTTTTCTTTCAGATTTTGTGAGCATGTATATTTTAATATTTTAGTCCACACTTGTTCCCACATTTCTAGTTCAATTGGGTAGCCAAATTTTTTTGCCCATCTAATCATATTTTAATTACCTCATCTTCTAGTTTCCATTTTAGTAGTAATTTGTAAAAACACCCAATACTTTTTTCATTATATCCCAACCAAATTTTTATCAAATTCATTCAAGTTCAATGCCTTGTTCTCTCATGTCCCTCTTAAAACATTCTGCAATTTGTATATATTTAAACCAATCTAAAATGGATCCTTCTTCATTTAATTCTTGTGTTTTCATTTTATATTTACCTGATTCATCCCTTTTTACAAGTTTATCATATGTTATCCAATTTGTTCCTTGCCCCATTTCTTTCCATTGTGTAGCTTCTTGGGGGGGGGGGGGGAAATATGCTGCAAACTTAGGCATAATTCTTCTACTATATTTGTTCCAAACTTTAAATATGGTGCGCCTAATACAATGGTTATTGAAAGCTTTGTTTACTTTTATTTTCCCATATCCCAAGTAAGCATGCCATCCATAGCAAAGGCCATCACTTTCTAATTCTAGTAATTTATCATTCTCTGAAGTTATCCATTCTCTCAACCAAGTAAAACAACTTGCTTAAAAATAAAGTTTTAGATTGGGTAGCCCCATTCTACCTCTCTCTTTCAAATCTTGTAATATTTTGAGTCGGATTCTCGGCTTTTTATTTTGCCAGATGAAACTATTTATGTCTTTATTCTAGATTTTTTAAACAATTATCTTTGGCTATTATCCGAATAATTTGAAATAGAAAGATCACCTTTGGTAGCACTAACATCTTGATAGTTGATAGTCTTCCTGATAATGAAAGTTGTTTTTCATTCCATTGAATCATATTTCTTTTAATTTCTCCCCATGTTTTTTTTGTAGTCATTGTCAAATAAATCTAATGTTCTCTTTGTAATTGTTATACCTAAATATTTTATTTTAGATTGGATTTTCATATCTACTTTCTTGCTTAATTCACTTTCTCTTTTTTTAGACATATTTTTTGTGAAGATTGTCGATTTTTCTTTATTTAACTTACATCCTATTACCTCTCCGAACTTCTCTATAATCTCAGTCAGTTGATTTACACATACATCTGAGTTATCCAAAAAGATCACTATATCATCCGTGTATGCTCATATTTTATAACAATATTTCCTAATCTTAACTCCTCGAATTAGATCTTGTTTTTTAATTTCTTTTATAAGTCTTTCAATTACTATCAGAAATAGTAATGGGGACAGAGGGCATCCCTGTCTAGTTCCTCTCTGAATATTTATATAATTTGTTTGCTCACCATATTTTCCGGTGCATAAGATGACTTTTTGACCCTGGAAAAGGGTCTCA